GGAGATGATTTTGAGGCATATTAATGTGCGTCGCTGTGTGTGATGTGCCCTGTGTCCTGTGTCCTGTGTCCTGTGGCGTGTTGCCAAAATTTGTTAACTCGATAAATCTTTTTCCAAAAACTCAATTCAAATTCTGACTTTGCAGGATGATTTGGGACTACTAGGAGACGTGCTGATTAGTTTTTGAGCAATATCTGTTGACCGGTGTAATTTTTTTGGGTCCGAATGGACACAATCCATACATTTTACTTTTTTGATCATTTTTCAACCATTTTGGTGACACGATGGTTTCGTGCTCAGACATGAAATTCAAAATCTGACTTTACGGGATGATTGGGCATTACGAGGAATAGATCTGGTCAAATTTTCAACGACATTGATTGATCGATGTAAAACTTAGACTGTGAAGAGGCACTTATGAGAAAAATGCCTTAAAATGATATTCTTTCAATTTGAACGCTGAAAGACTGTGTAGTGGGGGTTTTTTGGCACGAGAAACCCGAATCTGATGTTAGTTTTAAGATGCAATCAATTTTTCACAGACTTTTCATACAAAAATCGAAAAAAAAAATCATTTTTGTATGAAAGACTTGCCTTTGTGGTACTGTAATGATGTGAAACTTTGAACAGGCTATTTTTTGGATTGAAATTTCTTTAGACTTAGTATGATTATTTATTTTGATAAGAAAATAATATTCACAAGTTTTCACGGTAATTTAAGTTACTGCAACCATACATAGACCATCATTTCTGTTTATTCCCAAAATTTCGGTTCCATGCGGAAAAGTCAGCTTGCGTACGTAAGCCTCTTTATTTCTAGTCATATTTGAAATATTTAAATAAATTGAATCAAATAAACGAACATCTGTTTTTATTTACTCGAAAGTGTTTTCTAGAGCTTTAAACGTGTATTCGCTGTGGTTTGGTTCATTCACCTCTTTTCAATGCAAATTGATTGCTTTTTGTTTAATCAATACGGTTCTATTTTGATTAATATAAAATTCATTTTACCTGTATTTTCGTTAGATAAATTTGCTTGAGTCAATTCAACAGACGTGTTTCTCTCTAGTTCGAAATCGAAAATTCGGTGAAATAAAAAAAAAAGAATCATTTTAAAAATTAATAACTGAAGACTACTAAGAAATCAATTTGTGATGTTACCACCAAACATAAATATATCGCCAGTAAATAATTGGTCCCTATCAAACGTGATAAAGAAAAGAGTTTTCATTTATCTTGTTTTTCTTGCGATCGTTGGTTGTATTTTATGGTAATTATTACATAACAAACCGGCGAAGGCGGTTCAATATTCAAATACAAATAAAATTTCAGGAGTTCAAAAAAACCATCATCGACAAAGTTCAGCGATGAAAATGTCGTGATAAAACCTAGAGAGAAACCGTGGTTCTATAAAGACATGATGCGAAGATAATGCCGTGGCAAGATCCAAGTGATCGCTATGAAAAGCAGTTGATGTTCATTCCACCAAACTATGATGAGAAAAAGGTGAAGAAAAAGAAAACGATTTTACTTTATGGTGAATATCAAGGACCGGTTGATTGGTTTAAAAATAGAAAGTGTCCAGTTAATCGATGTAGAATAACACGGAATCGCAAGGAAGCAAATACGGCTGATTTGGTCAGTTTTCGCAGTCAATATGTTGCGACGAATTTAACCAAACAACCACATCAAGTTTACGCATTTTATAGACTCGAGACTCCATATAATTGGCCAAGAAGATTCACAAGTAAAATTGTTTTTTTTTTATTTGAATATTTTTTAATATCATGAAAAAATATTTAATTCAAATTTCAGAATCAATCATTTATAATTGGACAATAACATATACATAGGTAACAATAACATGGACATTGGACAATAGACTATCCCAGAAAAATTAAAAGTTAGAAATGTTGAGGGGCTCATCCATTTTTTTATTAAGAGAGATCCAAGACAATAACTTCTATGTACTGTTGGCTACGAACGTTCGTTCGTAGGCAATAGAAATAATATTTTCGTTCGTTCGTAGGAATTGAAAAGAAAAATATGTTCGTTCGTAGATTTTCAAAAATAAAAATTATGTTCGTTCGATCGTAGCGATTTTTTATTTCAAGTTTTCTTAATATCTGAGATAAAAAATCGATACGAACAAACGAACAAAATTTTTATTTCTATCGACTACGAACGAACGAACGAGTGTGTTGTTGAACTTCTATGTTGTTAGAATGGTTTCTTAGCCCTGATGAGCCCCTAAACATTTCAGTTTTTTTTGAGATAGTCAAAATATAAACAAAGTTTTAATCAAAAATCTATTTAATCAAAACCAAAACCCATATACCATTCATTTTCCAGGCTTGACAGTACGATTGTAATCCCTTACTATAAATGGCTATATTTCGATCCAAAAATCAAACAAATGAAACAAACTCGAAACTATGCCCAGAATAAGACGAAAAAAGTCGCTTGGATTGTATCCAACTGTGAAGCAGAAAATGATCGACAGATATACGCTGAGACACTCCAGAAATACATTGATGTATGAAATACTGATCACGAACTAATTCCATTCTCTTATGTTTAAATTGCTTTTATTGTCATTTGCAATAGGTTGACATATACGGTAGATGTGGAACGAAAAATTGTTCCAAAAAGAGAGAATGGAACAAAGATTCATCATCGTGTCTAGATCTCATATCAAAAGAATATAAATTCTATTTATCATTTGAAAATTCGAATTGTTGGGATTACATCACTGAAAAAGCGTATCGCAATGCATTAAGTCATGATGCGATACCAATTGTATTGGGCGCTCGTCGTGAAGATTACGAAAGACAACTTCCATTAAATTCGTTCATTTATGTCGAAGACTTTGCAACGGTTAAGGATTTAGCCGACTATTTACACAAAGTCGATCAAGACGATGATCTTTATAATTCATATTTTCAGTGGAAGGGAACCGGCGAGTTACTAGAAAAATTCGAACATCTTTGGTGTCGTGTGTGTGCATTACTTCACGATGAATATACGATGAACACTCCACATTGGTATGAAGACATAAATAAATGGTGGTTCGATCCGAAAACAATGCGAAGGGGATTTTGGCGTGATATCAATTGATTTTGATTAAAAAAGACGACCAAAATGAGCTAATTCTTCATGTAATTCTCTCTTGAGAAAAATATAGAAATTGTTAAAATTGTATAAAATTTTTATCCATAAACGAAGATTATTATTCTCTTTTATTATTGTATTGGACATCATTTTCTGGTTGATTTTAGTTTAAGCATTGTTTTTTTCTTTATTTAAATATAAATCTATTGATGTTAAGCAGACTTACACATTTGAGAGTTTATAAAGCAATTTACGAAATAAAAGGCTGTTGAAAATAAGATTATAGTATATAACGGATGTGAGATTCAAATTACGTGAGTGTATTTGTATTAGACAGCTGTCAGACTAGTCTAGACATTTTTTTAGACAATTCAAAACGTCAAAAGTCGTTCATAATTAGTCGCGTTATTCGTGAACGTGAAATCGTAAGAAGTCTATTGGTTCCGCCTATATCTAATTTTTTTTTTTCAACTTTTCAATCTGTGCACGTTTTTTATGTATTTTAATGTAAGTTAATGAAGTGAATTAAATGTCTGCTTTGCGCTGGTTTTTGATTACCATTTTTTGTGTTACCGAATTTTGCTGCTTCAAAAATCATATCGTATTTTAATCGTTTTTTAGCTTTCTGAGTAACATATGGTTCCATATCAAGTCCCCAAAAAAACTACCTACATTAAAAATGGCCCAAAATAACAACACTACTATCCATAAAAATGTGTTGGCTTGGCGAGGCTGTGAAAAACTCTACTTGGACGATCTAACAGCCGATGTATTTTTCATTTTCAACTCCGAAAATTCTTCCAAAATCAAACGAATTCCGGCTCACAAGAGTATTTTATCAGCTGTGAGTGAGGCATTCGATGCAATGTTTTATGGCCCTGTGAAGGAAAGTGGCGAAGTAACCATCACCGATACGTCTCCGGAGGCGTTTGAAGAATTTCTCCAATATTTTTATCGTAGCTCTGTGAAATTGACTGCTGAATACGCGCCCGAAGTAATGAATCTGTGTAAGCAGTATTTGCTCAACGATAGCATCAAAAATTCAACCAAACTTGTTGAAGCTTCGTTGACCTTAGAC